CTTGTTGCACAACATAAGTAATAGCTGCATTGGGTAAACCGATTGCCAAAGGTTCAACATCTGTAACATTCTCCAGCAATTCCAATACCCCTGTCATGTGGCGTGATGCACCACTATCTATAAGCCAGTGACAATGGGAATCTTTACGATTTAATTTGTCCTTTGAGCGTTGGGGGTTGTCAACCAATGATAACAATTGTGTCACCACGTCAGGTGTCAGAACGGCGAATGCATTTGCTTGCTCTAGTGGTTCCTCCGTTTGAGCTGCGTGTGCACCAAATGGCTTTGGGAATCCTCCTTGTGGGTTACTGCTCCTATCACCACCGAAACGTCCACGTCCTCGTCCAGGTCCTCGTCCTCTGCTACCACCACGTCCAGGATAGCCAAATGCTTGCCAGCATCGAGAGGCTTCATGATTAGTTTTCCCGCAGTGAATGCATGGAGGACGTTCAACAAACTTTTCCCAATTCTCGTAGTTGGCTTCTCCTCTCAGCATAACGGTTGTTAAAAGAATCCCTGGGCTATCTGATCCAGTCAGATAGAATGGTGATCCAGGGTCTGATGGCTTCAACCTGCTGCTGTTTTCATTGGCCATCTTCAACAGAAGCTATCTCCTGCTCACTGTTTTCAGAGTCTACACGTTGCAGAAGTTTTTTTTTTTTTTTTTAACAAGGGATCGCTCTGATACCATGATAAATGGTATCAATTGATAGTATTTCCATTGATTTAAAACTGTACATCAATGTATCTTAAATAGAATAGGCTGTTACCAAACAGTCTATTACCAAATAGTAAAACAACTTCCTAAAGATAAGTAACTACACCTAATTACAATAGGACTCAGTTATACATATCCTAACAAACTACATGTTACAACATATCACAGCAAATCATAACAACATATAGAATCTTCTATTCCAACAAGGACCAAAAATATTCTGAGACATTGTTTTAAGTGCATACATTTTTCATATTCCAATTCTCTGCCATGGCAATCTCATTGCATACAGAATAGTATGCTTTGATCGATACAAAATGTTAGATGCGATAAAAGAAAAACCTACTCAAAAAGTCAGATGTGATAAAAAGGAGGCAAACAATTGTATATGTGCCTGATTAATCTGAAAATAAAGCATTCATCAAACTTGCATGCCAATTCTAGTTATTGATAGTGGTTCTATTTGTCTAACATATTCATCGGATGAACCCGTGACTCAATTGAAAATGCGAAATTTTAAATGAATAAAAGAACCAAAAATATTAGCAACATTGTTACAAGTGAATACATTTTGCATATTTTAATCTTTTGTTGTCGCAATCTCAAAGGTTATCAAATGTATGTTGTTCAAAAAATTAAAATATTACACTTTTAATAATTAATTACGAATAAATAGCAGTTTGGAAACTATATTCGAATTTATTGCAGTTATTCACGCCCAAATTAGACGTGACTATTCACGCCTAAGTTAGGTGTGACTACCAAGGCATTCACGCCTAAATTAGGCGTGACTCGTCTGGTGTTGACACGTGGCACAAAAAATTAATAATTTAACTGTAAAACTTTATAAGGCCATAACTTTTGACTCGGGTATCCGAATGAGGTAATTCTTTTTTTGATTCCATGTAACTTTTCGAGATCTACGCAATGACATCTCATTTGATATATCTTATCTCTCACAAACACAATTCAAATTTACAACAATGATATTATAAAGACGGCACCAAAGTGGATAAACTCATCTATAAATAAGATGACACCAAATTTTCTATTAAATACAAAACGTAATCAGCTCCTATTAAATACAAAACGCAATCAACTCTTATAACATTAAATTCAAAATTCAAATAACCACTAGCAAATTTATTTGAATTGGCGACAATCTGTAACCAACTCATAAAATTATAACGCAATCAGCTCCTATTAAATACAAAACACAATCAACTCCTATTAAATACAAAATGCAATCAACTTATTGGAGGTTATTTGAATTTTAAATTTTGAATTTAATGTTATAGTACCATTATTGGGCGTAAATGAGTGCAATATATTTGTAATTAGGTTCAAAACGGCAACTTATTCGTAATTATTTATTAAAAAAGCAAGTGTTTAGAATATTTATTTAATTATTTTCTTTATTAATACAGATTTTTCAAATTGATTTTTGAGTTTAAATCACAAATTAAATCTTTATTTTGTTTTTCGTATTAATAATAATTTTTTAAATTTTTTTGGTAATACACTATATAATACAATTATTGCAAATTTGAATTGTGTTTGTGAGAGATAAAATATATCAAATAATATTTTATTGCGTAGATCTCAAAAAGTTATGTGAAATCAAAAAAAGAATTACTTCATTCGGATACCCGAGTCAAAAGTTATGACTTTTCAAAGTTTTATGATTTGTAAGTTGACTTTTTTTGCCACGTGTCAACACCAGATGATTCACGTTTAAATTAGGCATGAATGCCTAGGGAGTCACGTCTAACTTAGGCGTGAATAGTCACGCCTAATTTGAGCATGAATGACTGCAATAAATTCGAATATAATTTTCAAACTGTCACCTATTCGTAATTAATTATTAGAAGTATAATATTTTAATTTTTTTTTACAATGTATGTTTTGAGTGACGCAAAATATTGAATGCGACTAAAGGAAAACTTAATCAAAAAAGTCAAATGTAATAAAGAAGGCAAACTTTACATATGTGCCAAATTAATTTGAACATAAACAAAGGTGCACGTGCCGGCTACCCCGACTACCGCCAACTGCCAACGCAATCTTATTAAGAGTTGGCATATGACCCGATGAAAACAAAATAATGTTATTATTTCCTTCACAATCTTAAAAATAAGAAAGAAAGTTAAAGTAATGTGATTTTAATTATTACTATTTTTTTTGGAACACTTTAATTATTACTATTTAATCAATAGTAAAAATACATTACTCAAAATAAAAATAAAAACAAACCAAGCTCATCTACTTCCGGGCCATATTTAATTATGTCATCAAACATATTATGATGTCATTTAAAAATTAACATCCATAGAATTAATAAAATGATATTAGAACCATCACCACAACTTAGAGATGTGCTATAACCGAGACAAATTTCCAACTACTTGGAGCCTTGGAGGGATAGCGTTACCCGGTTCATACAGCGGAGAAGCCTAACTACTGAATATATAAACTTATCTTAACTCTTTGCGATCGCCTCATACGATGAAACATTTCATAAATGCAGCTGACATGGTAGTTCCAGCATCCAGAAGGAGTTTGTGAATTGTATACCATAGAAATATGGTTTGTTCAAATGGATTATGTACGGATTAATTATTTATTTATCGCTTACCTATTTCCATCCCTTTCCCTCGGCATTTATGGAGCGAGGAACGTAAATGAGCATGAGGCTACAGTTTAACATCCATTGTGCATTCAATGTGGATGACTGGATGGAAATGTAAGAGACGTAAGCTAATTAATGTATTAACCCATTATAATTTGGATAGTGGTTAAGGGTTGAAAAGAACAATGTCACCCCCATAAGAAAAATTAGTCTCCTCCAAATAGGTTAGGACACCCTTGCAAAACCAAAAATAATTAAAGTAAAAATAAATCGAATCGTGATTGTTAGATCGATAAATCATCACACGACTAATTTATCCATCCATAACTCAATTTACAATACCTACTTCTAGCTATATAATATTTTTCTTTTTCTAACCCTACTATGCACCATATATCATTTGTAAAATTGACAGATCTTCACCTGCTGTAATCGTAGTCGGTAGAGCTTTTAGATCGGAGTGATCATCTTGGTCAGTCTTAGGAAACAATTTTGCATTATATATATATATATATATATATATATATATATATATATATATATATAGGAAAAAGTACGACCGGTCGTACTTAGTTATAACAATAAAGTTGTTCTTTTTTTCTCTTTCCTCAGACATTGTCGGCTGACGTGGCGGAGAGAGAAAATGCAATTTTAATGTACGGCCGGTCGTACTTAGTGAAAAAAAATAACTGTAGACAACCTTATCTAAAATGGCTGCAGAAATGTTTTCCCCATATATATATATATATATATATATATATATATATGCACTATTTTTTTTAAATGATGGACTCCACTATCTTGTCTCTGTTGTTGCATGAAATAATTATCTCATCAAATATGAGATAAATAGATCCTTATATATATATGAGAAAACAACTCTCATGTTGTTGGAAAGTTGTTTTCTTCTACTAGTAATTTTTCGATTTTTGTGTAATATTTTTTTTCTTTTTAATAAATGTGAGTCTCATATAAAATGTGTCTATAGCATGAGATATATACACGATGTTATTTGGGTGCTGCACTTTACAAAAGCATTTTTTTCAATATTTCTGTGAGTATTTTTCTAACTAGATCGCTCATCTCCTAAATGCAGTTACTAGTTATGACATCGTAGCTTTTTTTGCTTTTAGAGGGAGCAAAAAGAATGTGAATTACATCTTCTATAAGGTGAAAGAGATAGGAGAAACAACCTACATTATAATATAACTATAGATGAAATTAACAACCTACATTACACACAGCCGAGGTTACTTGATTGAAGACCTTTTACCCTGCAATATATCGAATTATTCCTTTTAAGGGAAACTCAGTGATCGTTATTGGAAAAGAAAATCACAATAGTCAAATTGAACATTTTGTTGCAACGAGAAGAAACAAACTGTTACGAATTAAGAGGCATCATGCAAAACAATGGTCAAGCTTAAGTTAAAGAATCTACCGAGAAACCCTGCTCTGGCATAATGGAGAAATTTTGGAAGATCAAGAACACTATGTACATAGATATGATAACGATACTAGGTTAGTTTCTTCAGCAGTCACTCATTCCCACATTCTTACAATCAAATTACAAGTACGCAGACCTAGATTAACCATCAACCCACTGGTTTAAACTTACAACTATATATAAAGAAACTTCGGCTATTCAGGAGGGAAAATGTAAAAAAGAAAAAAGATAACGCCGTAAGATTGGACCATGCCGTGATATAAAGCTGAAAATTTCTAGACCAGTATCTGCAACGTTCCTAACTAGCAGAAGAGGCTGCACCTTCTCTTCAAGAATTTTGAAGGGTTCTGATCAGGTGGGTGCATGAATTTGCAGTTAGGGCAGGAAGGAGATGACTTGCATAGCATTACCAACATGTGGCATCGCATGCAAACTGTTGCAACCATCTCTTTGTAATCTCCCTCTGATGATAACCATGAGGGAGAACCAATTAAACTATCTGAATCTTTCTTACACTTGCTTGATTCAATAAACAGATCATCATTTTCACTCAATCTAACAGGGGAATCAGAATTATGCTTCTCATTTATATAGTATCTGTCTTCTTGTTTCTTCCTCGGTGATTCACATGTCAAGTTCAGCTCAAGGTTTAAGCTCATGTGATCAGAAGGTGGTTCGGGGATTCTTTTTGAATCCTCTGTTGTTGTCTTATTCACCCTTGTGTTACAAAACTGTATTTGCCCCGACTGCATAATAAAAAAGATCAAAGATTAAACAGAAGACATGAAAGAGTTGTGGCTTTTGCAACAAGTTTTGACAATATATATACAAACCTGAATACTGAGGTATTGACGCCATTTATCTGAAGGAAACGGGGTCTCGAGTTGGAGCTCCATATTTTGGTCCTTGAAGAATTCTTCAGCAAATGGCTCTTCCCACTTTCTCTTCTTTGATGATGCTTCAAATTCTGCATGAACTTCAGTTCTAGGACTCTCGGCCAGCGTTTTGTGAAAGGAAACCATAGCTTCAAAATAAAGAGTGGTGTCACCCCTAAACCTTGTGTCTGTCTCTTAGTGATCCAATGTAGTATAAGACTGAGGTGTTTATATAGGATGAGTTCCCCTTGAAATTATAACCGCTAAGGAGAATGTAATAGGGGGCAAAATTTGAAGGTCGAATAGAAGGGCTTTGCTTACGTATAACGTGCCTTTTCCCAAGTTGGCTCCCTAATAACTACACAGCTCCAAGCCAGTACTTAACGTCTTAGATGGTTTTCTTTTTTGTTTTGTTTAAAAAAAAAACGAAAGCAGTATAATGAAAATAAATAAATTAGGAACCAAAAAATAAAGGGAAAAGTATAGCTCCAATAACTGGAGATAAAGTTATCTCTAGTGAGTTCAAAACGACGTCGTTTTTAGTTATAAGATTAAAAAATTATAATGACAAAGACTAATATAACCCTGCAATATATTATAATTACAAAAACACCTTGATTTTCATCTCAAAACAATGTCGTGAACTCACTGTAAATAACTTTATCTCCGGTGACTGAGAAATCATTTACCAAAAATAAATTAGGAGATGGTAACTTCTTCCATAATCAAAGTAGGGTACGTCGCAATTAGTTAGGAGATGCCTGTCAATTATTCAATGAGGAATCATCAACATATATAAATCAAATCAAAAACCCTTTTGAATAAATGCGGCACGATCTTGCCAACATCAATCCTTAAATGCAAAACTAATACATTGTCAAAATTATAATACTTGCCTAAGTCTATATATATAACACAAGTTGTAGGCTGAGTCGGTAAAGAATTACGACATTATCACTTTAAATATACAGATAGTTATTGAGCACAGAAATAGAAAGAGTAATTTTCGGAAAACAACTCTTAAAAGTACTTTTTTGTAGTAAAAAAAAAAAAAAAAAAAAAAAACTTATTTAAATATTGCAAACATAATCTCTGTATAAATGAAATGAATTTGGCTTCGCCTTGACACATGACGTACATACTATAAAGCCAAGCCGAAAGCCGAAAGGACAAGCTTTGCACTTATGAAAGGCGGTGAGAAGTGGAAGGAGAGGGATGGCATGATCATTAATGTTGTTAGTCTGTGTACAGGTGAAGGGAAGGTCTTGAATGCCAATGGTTCTTTTAATGTAAATAATAACTCCAACTTCCCCAATTGGGTCACTCAAAAAACTAAAAACTTTAAAGCTCTCAACACCCTCTTCAGCCATTAAAACGAACCACGCCCATAGATGACCTATGCTATTAAAAACTCCAGAAGTAAGCTTTAAAGGCTCTCAACACCCTCCCCCATTAAACCAACCAAGTCCTATGAATTACCAAAAAAATGAACGCAAATTTATTGTTCCTTCTCTCTCCTAACCGCTCCCAATTTCCTCCCTTGACATCACCTGCATCATGCCCATTGTTATACACTGACTTTAATTTCTCCCATGAACTTGACAATTTAGCTTTAATATATGAGTTCCCCTTGTAACATCAAAACAAAATTGTCGTTTTAGGCAACTGAAACAAGTAAAAGGTATGTCAATTAATGTGTTGTATTGTATGGTTGAACGCAAAGTATGGCTTGATAAAACATCATCTATTACTTGTATATTTTCATGCACATTATTATCCATATAAAATTCTGACAAAACCACTCCGAAAATTATCATAGACCACAGTTGCGGATCCAGAAAATTAACGAAGAGTGGGCACTCAACAAGTTCATGTACGTATAGATCTAGGTCTGGTCTGGAACGCGACTTGCGAGCAGCTGTTAGCTGACTGGATCTGGTTTAGATCTAGATCTGGACGGATTGTGACTCAATTAGACCGATGATGGAGGAAGAAGTAAATGTTTCAACTTACAATAACAGAGATTGAGATTTGAGAGGAGATGAATCAGTATGTATATGCAAATGATGGGTCTGGAACAGAGCTCTCTGCTGTTAGATTTGGATGATAAAGGTGGAGGAGAAAAAATACTCACGAGAAAATAAAATAGAAGGTGGAGGAGATGAATCAGTATGTATATGCCAATGGTTCTTTTAATGTAAATTATCGTAACAACCGACTAGGGTTACTACCAATCAATTTCACCGTTAGATCGATTATGTTGATCCAATAGTTATATTTATTTTTATCTTTGTATGGTTATGATCCCCATATTTAATGTAAAAGCATTAAATATGAGAAATCATAACCATATAAAAGTGAAAATAAATATAAAGTATCAAATATGGAAAATCATAACTATAAAAAGATGAAAATAAATATAACCGTTGGATCAACATAATTGATCTAACGGTGAAAATGATTGATAATAATATTAGTAGTAACTCTAATTAATTGTTATAATATCCTACCCCGAAATTAAATTGGAAAAACTTGAATTTTAACATAAGTGTATTTTTATGTTTTTACTCATATTTTAAGGGTGGGCACTTGTCTCCCTTCTCGTCTACCTCCATCCGCCTCTGATAGACCATACATATTAAAGTAATTTGGCCATTATGATAAAACTGAAATCAAATCCTTAGGAACAATTAATCATTATTCCCAGTTTCTGTGGCGGCTATTTTATAAATGATTCAATAAGATTATACAATTAAATCATTAATTCAGAAAAAAGAAGAAGCCAGATGTACAGCAAGACGTGACAAGACATCTGTAGGGTATATAAAAAATGTGTATAGGAGATTTTGGGTTATGTTTCTTAACATGGCAAAAGGAAGGGTATACGCTTGGCCAGTTAGGTGTCGAAGGCTGTTCATCCTAATGTCACCAATCACAAATAAATTTGATGAGGGGCCCTAAATGGACTGCATCCCTAATTCAAATTCAATTGGAATTTGCTAGAACACGCTTGCTCAAGCGCTTATGCATTTAGGTTTTTAGTCATTGGATCAGAGCATTGAGATGATAGGTATACAATATACATTAATCAACAAATAAAAAAAATAACAAGGCTGTGAATGATCAATTGCAAGCAGCACAACCCAATTCAATTAGATAAAATCTGCTAGTTTTCAAAAGTGATTGGTCAAACGGCAAGTGAATCATGCATTTAATTATCTCAGTGATCTTCTCTCCTCCGACTTGATGTTCTCAATAATGGCAAATGAAATACTCCCCTCCCTTTTAAAATAAGTTAAGAAAGTCATTAAATATTCTCATTTTCAAGAAAATATAAGTTTCTTTTGTCTATGGTACCCCCTCACTCCTTTAATGTTCTCTCATTCATTTAATGGAATACCAAGAAAACAAAGATAAAATTAGAAAAAGTAATCAATGCCATATTAAATTTCTAAAGTAACAAATACTCTCTCAATTTCAAAATAGTTATAAACTTTAATTTGTTTCGAATTACTTGTTACATTAAAATAAAGAAGACATTAATTATTTTTTTGTAAGTTTATCCTTGATTTTTGAATCCCACAAAGTAAAATGAGAGGCCAATAATAGAGAAAGAGGATAATATAGGTAAATAAACTTTTATATTTTTTAATGACTTTTTTAATCTTGGTACAAAACTTTAAATAACAATTATTTTGAAATAGATGGAATAATTTTAACCGTATATACTAAAATTTCCAAAAAAATGTGATTTTTTTTTGGAATAACATGAAACTTCTACGGGAGATAATCCTGTTCGGGGCAGGTTCAGTATTAAGACTTTAAATCTTTTTCAAAAATAATATTGAGAAGGATACTATTACCCCATGTGTGAATTATTTTTAATAAAGAGAGTATATAATAAACATGTGGGGGGTACGGTAATGATGAGTCCGGAGAGAAATATTAGCTAGCTAATTGATCAAGAAAAGAGTGAAAGACGAGAATAGCAAATAGCTTAGAAAATGGGACTAGGAGGAAATTGAGAGAGAAGAAATAGAAGATAAATAAAAAAAGGGTCCCAACTACCAGGCCATTAAAGGCATTGAGAGAGAGAGACGGAGGGTTCAATTTCAAGTAAGTCTACCTGCCTTCATTAAACCACCTTGAATTCACTTAAATGCAGACTTCAACAGTGACCAAAATTAAACAACTCTGCCTTCTTGGTCATCTTTCTTCTTCATTCTCAACAGCAGGTTTCTTCTGTTAAATGCCCTCAACCCACCTTGCCTTCCCTTCATTTATGTTCCACTCTTATTTCCAGTTTCAATCACTTCCCACGTACGAGAAACTGTCAGAATCTACAGAGCTACCGTAGCTCAATTCCACACCCTTTTCCAGTCCTCCTATCTGCCACCACTATAGCCCAAAAGAAGCACTTAATGAACAAGTGTTTTTGAGGAAGTATTTATTAGTATACGTTTAGTTTTGGATAATTTTTTAGGAAAAAAAAATTATTTTTTAAAAGGTCTTTAAATAAAATTTAAATTATAAGTTAAAGTAATTTAAACACACATTTACTTAAACGTATATTTTTTTTTCGAAGAAAATGCATATACGTTTCGTACATTACGTGTGAAGTGAGGGGAAGGCAAAGATTTTGCCATTATTTTATTTTAGTTTTGGTAAATAAGATCTTTCCATTATTTTATTCTCACAATGTTTACAATTCTTTAAACAATTTATTGAGTGTTTGAATCAATTTATTTCAGTTAAAAATAATCAATCAAAATTTTGAAAGAGCTTTTAATTGAAATTATTTTTAATATAAAAAATACAAATATACTAATAAGTTATAATAATATAATTAAAGTTAAATATGAAAATTTAATAATCAATCATGATATGGTTTTCTAAGTTTGAATATGGATTAAAACCTGAACTTAAAAGTATGATAATAGGACATTATATAAAAAAATTCATCATTAATGAATAGGGGTGGAGTTGAAGCAAGCATGCTGGAAGTTGAGGATGCAAGGGAAAAAGCCAGAGGTACAAACCGGAGAAGGAAGAATGATGACAACGATGAAGAGAGGTTTCCACAAGCATTAGACTATGGAAACCACTTTGCTAGCAATGAAGGAAGAGGAAATGAGAGACGATTTAAT